GAGCTATAAAGCTCTTTTTCACAGACGTCCAGATTGAGATGGCACCGTACCCGTCCGGTTTTTGTGCCACGGGCAAAGCGATCTCCTCCCCATGTAACTCGCTGAGCTGCCCCGGCTGGACAACGGTGAACAAGAGCTTCGTAGCTCATCGGATTCTTCCAGGATAAATAAAGATTCCGGTTGGGTTCTAACCTCGCTCGCCATCCAGAGCCTAACACTAACCCTACCTGTACCCTCACTATCTGACCAGACACAACACGAGCCATACTTCTAATCATGAATCACCCAACGTTCACCCTCACTAAACCCTACCTCTATCCTATCTAGCCAACCTGACCCTAACACTATCTCTACCTCTGCCTACCGGTGGCATTGTCCGATTGTGTAACATACAAACAAGCTGGCGCACCAGTCCAGTGAGGGAGCCTCCGTTCAATTGGGGATTTAGAGTCGGCACCACCGTCACTACCGCCTTAATCTCCATCGCTCTCACCCCCCCCCACCAACGTGCGCGATGCAGACGCGGCAGCCCATGTTCGTGCAGCTGCTGCAGAAGTCGTTCCGCGTGTTCAGCTGCCCCTGGCTGACGTCACAGCAGAAGCCCGCCGTGGAGGCCTGCATCCGAACGCTCTCCGTCGTCGGTACGGAACCACCCCCCCCCCCCCCCGCACGCGACGGGGGCCGCTGCTGTGCCACCCGACATTTAAGTACAAGTGCCGCGTCCCCCCCTTGCCCAACCTGAGTATTTGCCCCCTTTACCCAACACGTGCGCCGCCCACTACGAAACCAAAGTGCCGCCCCGTTGCGCAACCCAAGGGCTGTCCCCTGTTCACTTTTTTAGTGCCCCTCCCTAAGAAACCCGAGGACTGCCTTCCTACGAAACGTAGGTGCCGCCACCCCCCCATGAAACCTCATTGCCCCCCACTTGCTCAACTTAAGTACCGCCCCTCCTACGAAGCGCCCAAGTGCTGCCCCTCCGAGCAGATGGTGACAGACGGGCTGACGATGACGAGATGCTGCCGCGGGTCATTGTGATGTCACTCGTGACTCGTGTCGGTTCAGTGAACGGGGTGCCCACGTCGGCGAGATGTTAACTACCTCGCCTGGTATACAGGAGGTCGTGAGTTCGATCCCAACCCCCTGACGCCTATTGATTTTTTGGCCTGTTGTATATTTGGCGTTCTTCTCTATGCCCGTGGTCGCGTGGATTTTTCTCCGAGTTTTTCCCTCTACATTTAAAATAGATGTGCGTTCAGAGTCTTTGGCTGCTATAAAACATTCCACGTGGTAAGCCACTTTGCTGAGCTATCCATTAGTGGCCAGGTCACTTCTGAATCTCTATAGCTCAGCGGGGGCCTTACCTGGTAAAATAAAAATAGTTTAATAGTTTTTTATAGTTTATGAGCTCCGTCACGATCCACAGCGCCATCGCCACGGTTGCCGGCCCCGGTTTTTTTGCGAACCGGGCAAATTGGGCTCAAGTTCCGATTCCCTCCGTTGAAGCCCCGTACCTTTTTTTCTTACCGTGTTTTTATCGGGGTCGCGTGTGCCGTGTGCAAACGTCGCGCCAACGTTGCGCCAACGTCGCCGTCGCCGTCGTCGCCGCAGCCAAGAATCGCTCCATCGCCATCCCCGTGGACTTGGAGGCGCAGATCGCCCAGGTGGTGCATCCCAACCCGCAGGCGCTGGTGCACAAGACGGCCATGAGCTGGCGCAACAGCGCGCGGACGGGCACCCGCAAGGAGTCTCTGCTCTCCACCTCCAACCGTGACTACCGGCAGGTCATCGAGCGCTTACAGGTGCGGACGGGCGCGGGAGGACCGGTTGGCGAGTCGTCCGTGCACTCCGTGTGTCCGCGTGTGTCTGTGGGGTCGACCGTGAACCCGTGCCACCTGCCGGGCCTGTCCCGTGACCTCCTGACGGCGAGCCTTCGGCACTTCGCGCGACTGCCTCAAAGCGCACCTGGCCTGGCGTGAGCGCCTCGTGGTGAATGTTGGCTGCCGTGTGGACCGATCTGCTTCATGTTTATGGGACCTGTGTTTTTGTTGTGATTGCCACACGGAAAAGAGATACAAAAGGGAATACTTTTTCAATCAAGGAATCCTCACACACTCGCACGCGCACCGCCGGTTAGCACATTCATCTCTCGGCTGCCTCTCGTCGTCTCTCGCCAACGCCTCCCCCCCCACCCCCGCCACCTCTCCCGTCACCCCCGCTCCCTTTCCGCTGTCGCCGTGAGCAGGACATCGTGCAGTCGCTGCAGAGCCGCATGCGCTCGCTGATCCAGGCGGAGACGTCGGTGCTGGTGGACGTGCTGCACCAGCCGGAGCTGCTCTTCCCCGAGGGCTCCGAAGCTTTCCAGAGAATCGGCAACGGCGGCTTCATCTGCAAGTACGGGGGCGGTCGTCAGCTGCGTCGTCGTCGTCATCGTCGCCGTTTATCACCGGGAGAGTCGACGACAGTCTTCGGCGACGTCATCATCATCATCGGTGTCATCCTTGCCACCATCGTTTTCAGTGTCATCATCATCATCATCATAACAAGCGTCGTCATTGTTATCAGCATCACAGTTGTCATCATCTTAATCTTCCTTCTCATTGTCGGTGTCATCAACATCCCTCCCTCCTCCCCTCCCTTCCAGGCTCATTAGACACACGAAGCAGCTGCACCGCGAGAATGAAGATCTGTGCATCAAGATCTTGCACACGCTGCAGGACATGATGCCCAGCGGAGGCGCCGACGCCTGCGCCGCCGCTGCCCAGGTGAGCCGGCGCCCTCCGTGCCAGCGGGCCGCACGCCGTGGCGGGGGTCAGGGGGTCAGGGGGCGTGGCTAAGGCTCTACGGGGATCCTCGTCTTTTGTCGCTTTTAATCCTCTTCGTCTGTTTGTGGACCATCAGGAAGCTTACTGCAGCTTGAGCCGCAAGCACCAGGAGGACCAGAAACGGGTGAGTGCCGAGGCGCCGCAAGACCCACCGCCTCATCGCTCCCGCCACGTCCCCCTTGCCGTCCCCTGACGAGCCGCCACCGCCTCTCGGCAAACGCCGGCGCCGTCCAAACGCCGGCGCCCCCGGCCTTCCTGCCGCCCCCTTGGAGCGTGCGGCGCCCGGGGCCCCTCCGGTCCGCCGTGGGCTCCGGTGCAGTTGCACCGCCTGCGCGCGCCCGTGGTGATCGCGCCGTTTGTTTGCGACTGACTGCGTGTGAGCAGGGAGAGGAGCTGAGAGAGGGGCTGCTCGCTTGCTACTACGGGGAGAAGATGGGCAGTCAAGCAGGTGGGTTTTGCCCTCTGCTGCCCCCTAATAATTTTAATCGTAATAAAATGATTACCGGTGATAGTAATGTGCGTTTCATTCATTGAAACATTTGAAGGCTTCTCCATGATTTTCAGCCGTGGGGGTAGTTTGACATTGCTTTCCCCACGCTGGTCATTGCGCGCTGGTCAGTGGGGCGCACGGGACCGGTTTCAGATGTCACCGGCCGCCGACGTTAGCCGTGGCCGGCTCGAACGGCACGGCATCGCGAGCAGCGGCCTGCCCTACGACGGTGACAACGTGGACGCTGTCGAAATGAAACGCTGAGCTGAACGGTGCTCGGGTGATGTGCACGTATGTACAAATGTTGAACTTCTTTCGCACTGTACGTAGCGCACCGTGCTCATCGGAGCTGCGGGAACGCTGGTGGAGCTGCTTTTTGTGTTTGGTTTTTTGCCCTTCCCCCCGCACCTCCGATGAGCAAGGTTGGCTACGTACAGGGTGCGAAAGAAGTTCAACATACATGCGGTAGTGATGCAGGAGGAGGGGGGCGTACATGTAGAGGGGGAGCATGAGTAGGAGGTGGATGTGGTGGTCGTGGAGGAGGAGGGGGACGTGTGTGTGAGAGGGCGAAGCGGGAGGGGGCATCACACCGTGCACGATCCCCCCGTGTGCAGGCCCCACGGTGCCACAGGTGAGGGCCCACAAGACCTTGGCCAAGGTGCAGGTTCACCTGGACAAGCAGGGCGCCTCCGACCTCGTCATCGACCTCATCATGAGCACCAAGAGCCAGCGCATCTTCCAAGAGAGCATCCTCCTGGGCATCGCTCTGCTCGAGGGTGGCAACACCGTGCTGCAGGTGAGGGGCGCGACGGCATCACCGCAGTCACCAGCGGCATCACCGCAGTCACCAGCGGCATCACCGCAGTCACCAGCGGCATCACCGCAGTCACCAGCGGCATCACCGCAGTCACCAGCGGCATCACCGCAGTCACCAACGGCATCACCGCAGTCACCAGCGGCATCACCGCAATCACCAGCGGCATCGCCGCAGTCACCAGCGGCATCACCGCAGTCACCAGCGGCATCACCGCAGTCACCAGCGGCATCACCTGAGTCACCAGCGGCATCACCGCAGTCACCAGCGGCATCGTCGCACTCATCATCGTCAAACTCACCAGCGGCATCACCACAGTCACCGTTGTGACCATCATCGTCAACAGCAGCACCATCATCTACACCGTTAGGCGTTGCCCTTCGGTTATCGGTGTCATCGCCCCCTCCTGGCAGATCCACGTCCCATCTGCAGCACCGTGCTGCATACTCCACCTCGCACAGGCATACGAGTGCCATGTGGTGCAAGTTTATCCATCACAGCGGTCGTCGTGGTGATCGTTGTCATCGGCAGAAATTGTCGTCGTCGTTGGTTTTATTGTCTTTATCATCAGCAAACGTCATTGTCATCGTCAGTCATCATCGTCTTTTTCATCATCATCATCATCGTCGTCGTCGTCGTCATCAGGATTCCATCCAATCACAGACAGTCCTGCGCGACCGCAAAAACAATGCTTAAATCGCAGCACACGACACGAGTTGGAGAAATAGAATTTCGCGTTTGGAAACGGCAACAATAATTCAGCTACCATACGACGTCAAGCAGGGCAGTTTATATCCGAACGATCCGAATCATTCCTCCCCTTCCTCAACGGACACGTTGGTGCGGGAGTTCCACTCGGCCGAGGCTACGCGGCAGTGGCGGCTGCGGTCCCGTCACCGATTTAACGTTCCATTCCATCGTTTCCCAACTCCTTCCGCTCCTCTCCCCCTTCGTGGTTTTCGTGCTCGCGAGCAGCTCTCCTTCTACTGCCTGCTGACGCAGCAGAACCGCTCGGAGAAATTCTTCCAGCGCTTCCACGAGCACATGCGCGCCGCGCAGCTGGAGATCAAGGTGCTCGTCACCATGAACACGTCAGAGCTGGGCCAGAGGACCGACGAGGAAGGCGGCGGCGGCGGCGGCGGCGGCGGTGGCGCCAGTAGCATTGGTGGTGGCAATGTGACCCAGATCACGCCCGCTCGCAGCAGGGCTCGAGGTGAGGACGGCCTACACCGGTTCCTCCCATCCCCCACGCTCCCCCCCACCCCCCGCCTTCTCCCCGCCATGTCTGGCACCCACAGTCTAATGGGATTCGCATTAAATTTCGCCCATTGGCCATAGACCGAGATGGCCAATTGATCATTCTGTGGTGCCCACGGATTAGGTTCTCAACGCTGCTTCGCTTCCTCGACCCGCTGTGACCCGGAACGTTCACCGTTGACCGAGCACATTCGCGGTCGTGTGATTTATCGCACACCAATTGATTTAGCTCCGTAGCCAACAGCTGAGATCGGTGATCCACCGTGCCTCCCAGTTGCCCTTGTGTGCGCGCCGGCCCGCGGCCGACACCGGTCCCTGCGGTGACTGTGTATCGTCGCCCGACAGCCGAGGCTGCCGGTTCACACGACGTCTCCCCGTCCCGCTCTCTCTCTCTCCGCCCCACCAGTGCGGGGGCAGCACAAGTCCCAGATGTCCGACCGTGCCCGCAATCAGCTGGAAGAGGCAGCCGTGGCCACGCGCGGCGCCTTCCAAGCCGTGCGCCGTGCCGACGCGGAGGAGGCGGCCGCCGTCGCCGCCACCGGGATCAGCGGCAGCACCAACAGCAGCACCGACGCCGGGCCGGGCGAGGCAGGGGGCGGCGGCGGCGGCGGCGGCGGCGACGGAGGGGGCGGCGGAGGCGGCGGAGTGGGAGGAGAGGCGGAGATGAGTGCGGCCATCGCCATCATGCGGCCCATCCTGCGTCTGCTGCAGCTGCTGTGCGAGAATCACAACCACGAGCTGCAGGTGACGGGCGGACGAGAGGCGGTGCGTCCCCGTGCCTCGGGAGACTGCAGACGCCAGGCCCGGCGCGGCCCGAGATCCTGCGGCCCCACGGTCGAACCTAGGTTTCGGCGACCTGTGCTGTGCTTTAAACCGAAGTTCTCTCGCGTAGGGGAGTCGGTGGTAGCACCGGCTTACCGGTGACTGAATGATTACGAGCTCGTCGGTCAATTAGCCGCTGCTCCTCACTTGTCGACGGTCCACGACTCACGTGGCCGCGAACACGAATTCTACGACTGTGCCTCCATTCTGCACAGGTAGCCGAGTGCAGTGGATGAACCGACGCGCGTGCGTATCGTTTGGGGCAGTGACGCGGCCCGTCAGCAGAGGTTCGTGGTTCGAATATCGCTGCGGTTGCGTTAACTCTAAAATACTTTAACTCTCCGCCCGCTTCACGACGAACGATTAAAAGATCCACGATGTCAGTTGCAAGAGTCGGCCAATTGGGATTACGGACACACACATTGCAGAAACATCGCCCTCCCTACTGTGAAACTACTGTGGCCCGTGTCTGCGGAACACCAGGGGAGCGCCTTTCTCCGCGATAAGCCTTGCGCTCCAAGAACGGTAGCGCGAATACCGAACGCGTCAAACGATTAGAGCGCTCATCGTTGTTATTCCCGCGTCCTGCGTGGCGGCGGCACTTTCTCCCTCGCAGAACTTCTTGCGGCACCAGAGCAACAAGACCAACTACAACCTGGTGTGCGAGACGCTGCAGTTCCTCGACTGCATCTGCGGCAGCACCACGGGCGGCCTGGGCCTGCTGGGCCTCTACATCAACGAGCGCAACGTGGCCCTCATCAACCAGACGCTGCAGAGCCTCACCGAGTACTGCCAGGGGCCCTGCCACGACAACCAGGTGCGCCCCGCGCCGCGATCCGATACCGTCGTGGGCTGTGCTCTATCCACTGCTGGATGGAAGCTCGCGTGAGCCATCGCCATTCTTCACGGTTTCGCGCGATGCAACAATCCATCTCGCTCCTCCTACACCCGAGTGTGACATTGTGACGATGATGATGATTTTATCGTCTGTAAAACTGCCCCGACTCATCCTTCACTCACTCCACCCCCTTCCCGACGATCTTCCCATGCCCTCCCTAACCTATCCTGTCTGAGCCACCCCTTCCCAGTCAACCTTAGTTTCCTAATTGAGCAAATTATCTGGTGATACTGCAGCGCATCACTACCAACACAACAGCAAGCACTGATACACAAAAATAAGCCTCCGATAACTCTCATGCAGATGATCCAAAACAAACGCAACTTTAGCGTTGCCATTCAGGACTGGAGAAAATCAGCAACATTGATCAAAGTGGGGGATGACAAATATTTGGGGACACAAACCAAAGCAAAAAAAATAACTATTTGTAATCATGCAAAGGATTTTTTTCCCTGACAGCTATCCCTGTCAGCTTGCGTACCGCAAAATATTGATTTTATTTGATGTTGTTTGTGTCTTGTTTGTTGTTGCTACTTGTTGACCCGCCCCCTACTGGACATCTGTGAAAAGAGCTTCAGAGCTCATCGGATTCCTTCTCCTGCAGTCTCAAAATTCAGATTCTGATTCGGATACATCTGAGGACAAGCGCGCGTTGGACAGCTTTCACCCGCGTGTCCTCCCGTGCGTGACTTTTAATTTCTTTTTGAATTCCTTCCGTGCGCAGAACGCCATCGCCACGCACGAGTCCAACGGAATCGACATCATCACGGCGCTCATCCTCAACGACATCAACCCGCTGGGCACCAAGCAGATGGACCTGGTGCTGGAGCTCAAGGTCAGGAGAGGCCTGCGCAACGCAAGAGTCGCTACATTCTGGGGACACTCGTCGGCCGCGGGTGGGACGGGGAGACGAAGGTCGCCGGGCGTGCGTCGTGCTGTCCGGCCCGACCTCCTTGACCTCCCGCTCATGTTGCTCCGCTGGCCTTAGTGGCCGTTCGCCAAATGTCGCTTGCTCCAAAGGTTTCGGCTTTCGGTCGCCCGCAATAAAAAAATGGAGTTGCCAAGCATAGCAGCTTGGTGGTTGTGGCTCGTTCAGCGACAAATCTGCACGCAAACTCAAGCTGAATTTTATATATATGTCTATTTTTTTTTTACTCGAGCGGTGTCGCGTTGTCCCCCGTGTTGTCGACAGAAGGAACGGAGCTCACGCTGTGGCCCTTTTAACCGTCAGGAAAGATAATTTTAAAAATGTACCACTGGGCTGGGTGTCTCGGAGGTCCGAGCGCCGAGCCGGCACCTCCTGAGGTCCTGGGTTTGAGTCTGGGTTCCAGCCACCGCTTGCGAGTCAACCACGTTTAGGATTACCAAATGGCGTGATGCTTACACGATCAGGATAAGAGCGCCGGAAAGTTTTTGTCGCATTTATTTATATATTTCCCAGACTTTCTGCTCTCTAACGCTCTCTCTCCCGGGCATTGCACTGCGGAACACAGTGTCTGGAGGTGCACCGTGTGGGAGGAGTGCGGTGTAAATATTAAAACTATTGAAACTATCCAACTATATTTTTTTAATAGGTAAGGCCCACCGAGCTATGGAGCTCTTATTCAGAAGCGACCTGGACAAAGCTCAAAGAAGTGGCTTCTCATCACGTGGACAATTATGGCAGCCAAATCGTCTAAACGTTACCATGTGGAGAGAGACTCCAAATATACAGGTGTCTGGGTCGGGGTCGTGATCGAACCCACGTCCTCCTGCTTACCAGGCGAGGGAGTTAACATCTCACCACTGTGGCGCCCCTATTATAATTATTGTGGTGGTGGTGGCGATGCCGACATGAACGTCTGGCGAAATCATGTGCGTGTGCAGAACAATGCGTCCAAGCTGCTGCTCGCCATCATGGAGAGCAGACGTGACAGCGAGAACGCCGAGCGGATCCTCTACAACATGCGGCCCAAGGAGCTGGTGAGCCGGGGTTAAAGGGCATCGGGGGGGCTGGGGGGCGTCCAGGGGGCGGAGGCCAGGTGGGCAGCACTTGGGCGCTTCGTAGGAGGGGCGGTACTTAAGTTGAGCAAGTGGGGGGCAATGAGGTTTCATGGGGGGGTGGCGGCACCTACGTTTCGTAGGAAGGCAGTCCTCGGGTTTCTTAGGGAGGGGCACTAAAAGTTAACAAGGGACAGCCCTTGGGTTGCGCAACGGGGCGGCACTTTGGTTTCGTAGTGGGCGGCGCACGTGTTGGGCAAGGGGAGGCGGCACGTATATTTAAATGTCGGGATGGCACGTGGCTTTTGTAAAGGGGGCGGGGGGGGGGGTCGCACTTGAGACAAGCATAGGGGCGGCACTTACATTGGGTGTCGGCGTGAAGGGCGACGCTAAACTTGAACGCCCCGGCCGCAGGTGGACGTGATCCGGAATGCGTTCAACCAGGAGGAGGAGATCTACCCGGGCCAGGAAGACACGGTGTCCCCCAAGGAGGTCGGCCACAACATCTACATCCTGGCTCACCAGGTGAGCGCGGAGGCCCCCACTTGGAGCCCAGCACCACCCACCGCATTGTTTCGGTTCGACGATGTGGGGAGGAGAAGGTGGAGAGGGAGTGAGGTGGGTGGGGGGGGGGGAGCTGCCCAAGGGGAAGGGGACGACCGCCGTGGAGATGGAGGGATGGAATCGGCTTGTGTGCCAGGCGGATTGTTATGTAGCAGGACGGTGAGAGAGAGCAACGGCCTAAGGATTTCATCCGGCAGGGAATACATCATGAACGATGGTTATTTAAATTTCGATTTAAAGCTTTCGTTACTGCAGGGAATCATCTTCTTGGTTCTTTCGGTAAAGTCACGTAGAATGGAAATAAAATAATAAAAATAAAACCTAATAATAAATAAAATATTAAATAAAATAAAATATTTCCATTCTACGTGACTTTACCGAAAGAACCAATAAGATGGTTATTTAGTAACAGATCTTAACGCCTCGTTGGAATCCGTGGACTCCGGCAGCGCCACACCCGGCCGCCTTTGTCTCCCTCGTGGCGATGTTTACCACACACCGCACCTCATCTGAGGCCGAGTCGACCGTGGCCACCGCCGCCGCTTTGACCCCACCTTGCGTCCCGGCAGCTGGCGCGGCACAACAAGGAGCTGCAGGCCATGCTGAAGGCCCCGGTGGACGGCGCCGCCGGAGAGGACGACCCCCTCTCGTACTACGCCACCAACACCGCCCAGATCGAGGTGCCCACCGCTCCGACGACGGTGCAGCCGGTGCACAGGGAGACCCTCGCCAGGGCTACTACCCGCACACTCCCCGCACACTCTCCGCACACTCATCGCACTCCCCGCACACTCACCGCACACTCCCCGCACACTCCCCGCACACTCTCCGCACACTCATCGCACTCCCCGCACACTCACCGCACACTCACCACACACTCCCCGCACACTCCACCGCACACTCACCGCACACTCACCACACACTCCCCGCACACTCCACCGCACACTCCCCGCACACTCCACCGCACACTCAACGCACACTCACCGCACACTCGCCGCACACTCGCCGCACACTCGCCGCACACTCGCCGCACACTCACCGCACACTCATGGCATTCACCGCACTCACCGCACACTCCCCGCACACTCACGGCAAACAATTGCCACGGCTTTGGAACCCTGTCGTCACAATCGGGCTGCAGCACCCAGCTTCTGCTTCGCTACGTCACTGGGGAGAATGAACGGTCTAGCAGTCGTCGGGGTGTTTGATGATCCAGCACGCAGTGAGTCACTCTCCAGTCACTCGCTCACTCACCCACGGTCGGTCGGTCGCCTACTCACAACTCACTACCATGGCCGCTGTTCCCGTGAACTTCACTCGTTTATTCCTCCACCCGTGTTGAGGACTCGGTCTGTACCAGGCACTCGCTGCTTCGTGTAATCACAACACTGCAGGTCACAACAACACACTCACCCACTCACCACACTGCAGGTCACAACAACACTCACTCACCCACTCACCACACTTCAGGTCACAACAACACACTCACCTACTCACCACACTGCAGGTCACAACAACACTCACTCACCCAATCACCATACTGCAGGTCACAACAACACACTCACCTACTCACCACACTGCAGGTCACAACTACACACTCACCCACTCACCACACTGCAGGTCACAACAACACACTCACCCACTCACCACACTGCAGGTCACAACTACACACTCACCCACTCACTACACTGGAGGTCACAACAACACACTCACCCACTCACCACACTGCAGGTCACAACAACACACTCACCCACTCACCACACTGCAGGTCACAACTACACACTCACCCACTCACCACACTGTAGGTCACAACTACACACTCACCCACTCACCACACTGCAGGTCACCTCACTTATCTTTCTGCTCCTTCCCTCGCACTACTCCACTCTGGAATTCCCTCCCATCGTAACTTCTTATAATTCGCGCTGTTATTATTTTGCAAGGCCATCACGGAGGGAGGCGCTATGATTCACACGCCCTGCAGTAGTCTCACGGTGGAGGGGGCGGAGCGACGTTGCTGTCGATACAGTAACACACAACCGCAGTAATAACCAGGGCGGCCTGCCAAATTTGAACCGCGAACCTTTGCAACAAGCGGCTTGCGCGGTACCACGGCGCCCCGCCTCCCCCCCCCGCCCAACGCCCCCACCACGGCGTGCTCGCTTGACGTTTGCCGGACGTTGTGCCGCCGTCGCCGCCGCGCGACAGATCGTGCGCCAGGACCGCACGATGGAGCAGATCGTGTTCCCCGTGCCGGGGATCTGCCACTACCTAACGCGGGAGTCGAAGGCGCGCGTGTACAGCTCGACGGAGCGCGACGAGCAGGGCAGCAAGATCAACGGCTTCTTCCAGGTGTGGGAGGAGCTCTACCGCGAGATGGAGTGGCAGAAGAAGCTGGAAGGCAAGGCCGATTCTTCCTTTGTTTTTTAATCGTTAACAAATAAACGCAAGCAGGTTTTGCGGCGCGGGTTTCCGTTAGGTACGCGTGTGCGTTGAACTCGTTTCTTTCGCACCGTACGTTGCCGACCGTGCCAATCGGAGGGTGCGCGGGAAGGACAACAAACGAAACACAAAAAGCATTTCTAAAGATTCGGAGGCGCGGTAAACCGCAGGCGAGCGACAGGCAGAGCCGGCGCTTGCCAACGCCTTGCCCCAAGCTCTGTGGCTCCTACGTTGGGACGTTTGCCGCAACTCCATTGACGAGCTTTTTATACCCAGTTAGAAGGAGCACGAGGAGAAAAGCCCACACTCGCGATGGGTGGTAGCCCTCACGTGAACCCACTTGCTGTACTCGCAGGAGATGGCGTCCCCTGCAGCCCGCAGGGTTTGATTGTAAGCGTCACGGCATTTGTGGGTGATCCATCGACACCCTCCCCTCTACGTCGCCGGATTATCGGAATCTGGATCTTTATGTATAGCGGAGGAATCCCAAGAGCTGTAAAGCTCTTTGTCGCAGATGCCCGTTAGGGGCGGGATTAGAGGCGGGCTGCGCCGCCAGTGCCCGCGGTGTGGCAATACTGCGGTATTAAAAAGGCGATGATCGTGTCGCGTCCGTGGTGTTACCGTCGCATCGTCGTCATCGTCGTCGTCGAGCATTTTACTTTAGAACAAAAGTATTTTTATTTGTCGCTGAAGTTTTTAGTTTTTACGCAACAAAATAAGGTAATTATTAAGGTACCAAATACATTCTTGTAAAAACATAAACAGTAACAATTGTAAATGGAGATATGAAGGTCAGAGAGAGTCGAATAACGCTGATAAAGCTTCGGTGCTTTAAAAATAAACGTCGGAGTAATTGACATCACCGTTTCCAGAGCTCATTAACGATTTAATTGGTTTTTGTGCAACTGAGCGTGTGCATTGATAACCATCGCCGATTGTAACGTTGCAATGATGAGAAGGCCTGTGACAGCCTTTAAAATATAATCTCTTAGCACCGGGCAATTACGGCAAAGCACAAAAACCCCCCCCAAAAAACGTGAAACTCGATCACCCAGTGACGGTAAAAAACGTGACGTGGCGACCGTTGTCATCACATCGTCATCTCCACAGCCAAGAAGTACCTGTCATGGATCTCCAAGAACATGACACTGTGGAGCAGCATCTCCTTCAACCTCGCCGTCCTCATCAACCTCCTCGTCGCCTTCTTCTTCCCCTTCGACGGCAGCAAATGTGAGAGCTGGCCGCGGTGCGACGTCGGGGTGTGTGACGTCGGGGTGTGACGTCGGGGTGTGTGACGTCGGGGTGTGACGACAGGGTGTGTGACGTCGGGGTGTGCGACGTCGGGGTGTGTGACGTCGGGGTGTGTGACGTCGGGGTGCGTGACGTCGGGGTGTGCGACGTCGGGGTGTGACGACAGGGTGTGTGACGTCGGGGTGTGCGACGTCGGGGTGTGTGACGTCGGGGTGTGTGACGTCGCGGTGTGTGACGTCGGGGTGCGTGACGTCGGGGTGTGCGACGTCGGGGTGTGACGACAGGGTGTGTGACGTCGGGGTGTGCGACGTCGGGGTGTGTGACGTCGGGGTGCGTGACGTCGCGGTGTGTGACGTCGGGGTGCGTGACGTCGGGGTGTGCGACGTCGGGGTGTGACGACAGGGTGTGTGACGTCGGGGTGTGCGACGTCGGGGTGTGTGACGTCGGGGTGTGTGACGTCGCGGTGTGTGACGTCGGGGTGCGTGACGTCGGGGTGTGCGACGTCGGGGTGTGACGACAGGGTGTGTGACGTCGGGGTGTGTGACGTCGGGGTGCGTGACGTCGGGGTGTGCGACGTCGGGGTGCGTGACGTCGGGGTGTGCGACGTCGGGGTGTGCGACGTCGCGTTGTGATGTCGGGGTGTGCGACCTCGGGGTGTGTGACGTCGCGTTGTGTGACGTCGGGGTGTGACGTCGGGGTGTGACGTCGGGGTGTGACGTTGGGGTGTGACGTCGCGTTGTGACGTCACAGCCGGCGCTGATGACTACTATGATGATGGCGACGACGATGACGGTGGGGTTCGCGTAAACCACTAAACCGACAGTGATGATGCTGACGATTGTGATGATGATGTCGGTGACAGTGATGATGATGTTGTTGTCGTTGATGATGATGTTGTTGTCGTTGATGATGATGATGTCGTCGGTGATGATGATGTCGTCGGTGATGATGATGTCGTCGGTGATGGTGATGATGATGATGATGTCGTCGGTGATGATGATGTCATCGGCGATGGTGATGATGATGATGATGTCGTCGGTGATGATGATGTCATCGGCGATGGTGATGATGTCATCGGCGATGGTGATGATGTCGACGACAATGTCGCCAGGGACGCTGGAGTCATGGCCCGTCCCCCTCCTCGCCGTCACCGCCGCGGCGCTCGTCGTCGGCGTCGCGGCCTTCCCCTCCCGCAAGGCGCTGCGGCTGCTCAGCGTGCCGACCATCGCCTTCTTCATCTGCACACTCGGCCTCGAGGCCACGGTCATCCTCCTGGGCTCGGCCAACGTGAGTCCCCCCCCGCCCCCCGCCCCCCGCCCAACCCCAACCTCCGACACGACGAGTCCGTCGCGAACGGGCGCCGGCCGCCGCCGTGCGGCCCGTAACGGCGAGGGGCTCGGCTGGCGGGAAAACGGGAGGGCGGACTCGCCGTCAAACCCGCCTCCGGCTGGCCGTCCTCGACCCCGTCACGCCGTCGGCGGTCGGCGGGCCCTGCTGGCCGACCTCCGCCGTCGGGGCCTTCGCGACGGCGCGCGCCACGGCGGTGCCGCGCGCCGTTCGCGACCGTCCGCCGATGACCGTCGGATTGAGAGGGCGCTCTGGGAAAACCGACTGGCACGTGGCCGCCGCGGACGCTACCGGCTCGGCGGTCACGCACGGCGGCGAGCGGATGACCGCGGGGGCGGCGTGGGTTGGCGGATCACGCACGGTCGCGAAACTCTCCCACGTGGGTACACGCGCTTGGGGTGGCGGGGGGACGGCACTCGACGCGCTTGTGGTGGTTGTTGTTGTTGTTGTTGCCCCGTGCCAGCCCGGCTCGTCTCTGTGTCACGTACCGATGTACGTTGAGATTCTTTCTCACCGTACGTAGGCAACCGTGCTAATCGAAGGTGTGGGGGAAGGACAACAATAAACTCAAACTGGTCTGAGCGGTTGTTGTTGTTATTGTTGTTGTTATCCCATGCCGGCATGGCTAGTCTGACCGGTGGTAGTCGTCGTTGTTGTTGTTGTGTCGGCACGACAGGTGTGCAACAAGTTGGTGTTCCTCGCCAGCTTCGTGGGCAACAGGGGCCGGTTCGCGGGCGGTTACCGTGCCGTCATGCTGGACGTGGAGCTGCTCTACCACGTCGCCTACCTCCTCATCTGCGTGCTCGGCCTGCTCGCCCACCCCTTCTTCTTCAGCCTGCTGGTGCGCACGCAACGGCCACGGCGATCGCCCGTAGGGCTGTCAACGCGCTGTTAGCGAGCGCCTGTTAAGAGGAATGCGCCCGTTGAAGGGGATGGGTGGACAGCGCCGTGCCCGGCCGCTTTTGTCTCCCCGGCGCTGATGTCGACGCACCGTTACCGGGGTACTCATTAAGGCTGAGTCGACCTGGGGGAGGCTCGGAACCGGTTCGGATAATCGTCTCCGGATGTCGGCCGTGAGCGGGAATGGAACTCGCGGTTTTCTGTTTTGTAGCACGAGGCTCAAACGGCTGCGCACCGCCACGCACGAACACAGCGGTGTCGGCCATCTTTGCCGGGAACCGAACTCAGGTGGCCCCATTCTCCCGCCCCTCCCCTGCCCCTCCTCCTCCTACCCACTGCTGCCGCCCCCGTGGTCTCACCGGCAGCTGTTTGACGTGGTGTACCGCGAGGAGACGCTGCTGAACGTGATCAAGAGCGTGACGCGCAACGGCCGCTCCATCGTGCTCACCGCCGTGCTCGGCCTCATCCTCATCTACCTCTTCTCCATCGTCGGGTTCCAGTTCCTCAAGGACGACTTCATCCTGGACGTGGATAAGCTGGCGGAGGCCAAGCCACCAGCCGGTCAGTCCGCCCACCCCCCCCCATCTCGCTCCGTCCTCCGCCGCCCGGAGGGAGACATTGAGCAGAAAATCGTCGTCCCCTTTTCTCCCCCAAGTTCCATTCCATTTCTGCCGGTGTTGGAACCCGGTGGGTGTGGGTGGGGGGGCGGTCGTGGTGATTGCCCCCCCACCGCACCCCCCTTTCCCCCACCTTTAAGATCTCGAAAAAATGTATTTTGTTGATATTTACCAGAGAAAAGCTTCACATTTCAAGAGACCATTCTGCCCCGGGTTGCGCCGCCGATGGCGTGCCGGGGGAAGACAACGAATGTCAGCGGTCGATCCGGCCCATCATCATCACCATCATCATCATCACCATCATCATCACCATCATCATCACCATCATCACCATCATCATCACCATCATCATCACCATCATCACCATCATCATCACCACCATCATCACCACCATCATCATCACCATCATCATCACCGTCATCATCATCACCATCATCATCACCAACATCATCATCACCGTCATCATCACCATCATCACCATCAACATCACCATCATCATCACCACCATCATCATCACCATCAACATCGCCATCATCATCCTCGGGAGGGAGGGGTGGTCTATTAAACTGGCACAGCTTTGCGAGGTCAGCAGTGGTTTTTCCCACGTGTGTTCCGCGTGTGTCCTGCATGTGTTCCCGTGTGTGGTGTAGCGGTTAGCGCGCTGCGCTACTCGCTAACAGCACTTGCCCCAACAGTCTGTTCAGGCTATACGGGGGATCTTTATCTCATTGTCCCCGCGTGTGTCCCCGCGTGCGTGTTCCACGTTCGTGTCCCGCGTGTGTCCCGTCCATCCTAGGAGACTCGTCATCGAGATTCATGTCCGAGTTCTGTGACGCGACGGACGAGTCCTGTGTGGTGGCCGGCGCCCAACAGCGAGAAGGAGGAGCAGGAGGCCGTCTCTTTGAAGGTGCTTGTGCGGCTCACGGGTCGAGAGACCATTTCTGAGCGCTTCCCGGCTGCTGTGGGAGAGAAGCGTCCGTGCGTCTGGCTCCGTCTATCCGTCCGTAACAGGGGAGGGGGGGGGGGGGTGTGGGTGGCTGACGGCGGTAAGGTCGTTCCGAAGTGAACGGGAAGTTGTGCCGCCGAAAGAAGACCGGCGCTACGTCGATAAATCCAGGAGGAAAAACTCGTCGCTGAAAAAAGGATTCGTTTAACGACGCCGATTTTTACGTCGCAGGACCGTGAGACATGGCGACGGCTTTGGGGGAGGCCTTCATCCAGCAGTGGATAGATCGTGGCCTACGACGACGACGATACTGTATGTAGAGATGTGGGATTCGCGCGGGTACAGTTCCGCCGAGAAGCCAGTCTACCACCGCTCTCGCGTTTAACTTGAACCACACTGCTGCCCCTCCCCCCCCACCGCCATTCCCCGTTGGTCAGCACGAGTTGGCGGTACCGAGGAGGAGGAGGGGGAGACGGAGAAGTCGTGCGAGACTCTCATCATGTGCATCGTCACGGTGCTCAACCACGGCCTGCGCAACGGCGGCGGCGTCGGGGACGTCCTCCGCAAGCCCTCCAAGGAGGCACGGCCTCACCACGGCCTCACCACGGCTTCACCACGGCCTCACCACGGCCTCACCACGGCCTCACCACGGCTTCACCACGGCCTCACCACGGCCTCACCACGGCCTCACCACGGCCTCACCACGGCCTCACCACAGCTTCACCACGGCTTCACCACGGCTTCACCATGACCTCATCACATCCTCATCACAGCTTCACCACGGCCTCACCACAGCCTCACCACAGCTTCATCACGGCCTCACCACGGCCTCACCACAGCTTCACCACAGCTTCACCACGGCTTCACCACGGCTTCACCATGACCTCATCACATCCTCATCACAGCTTCACCACGGCTTCACCACGGCTTCACCATGACCTCATCACGGCTTCACCACGGCCTCACCACAGCTTCACCACAGCCTCACCACAGCTTCACCACAGCTTCACCACGGCTTCACCACGGCCTCACCACGGCTTCACCAGTTTCACCATGGCTTCACCATGACCTCATCACGGCTTCACCACGGCCTCACCACGGCTTCACCACGGCCTCACCACAGCCTCACCACAGCCTCACCACGGCTTCACCACAGCTTCACCACGGCTTCACCACAGCTTCACCACGGCTTCACCACAGCCTCACCACGGCTTCATCACGGCTTCATCACGGCTTCACCACAGCTTCACCACGGCTTCACCACAGCCTCACCACGGCTTCATCACGGCTTCATCACGGCTTCACCACAGCCTCACCACGGCTTCACCACGGCTTCACCACGGCCTCACCACAGCCTCACCACGGCTTCATCACGGCTTCATCACGGCTTCACCACGGCCTCACCACGGCTTCACCACGGTTTCACCACGGTTTCACCATGACCTCATCACATCCTCATCACGGCCTCACCACGGCGTTGCAGCCCTCAACATGTCGACGACGAGCTGACCACCATCACTCTGCAGCGTGTTGGGGAAAGTCCCATTTAAGAGACGCTGCATACATCAATACCGCATTGTACGGACTCGCTTAGAGACGCCACAGACCCACACAGAGACGCCAGAGACTCGCACAGAGACGCCAGAGACCCACACAGAGACGCAGAGACTCGCACAGAGACGCCAGAGACTCGCACAGAGACGCCAGAGACTCGCACAGAGACGCAGAGACTCGCACAGAGACGCCAGAGACTCGCACAGAGACGCAGAGACTCGCACAGAGACGCCAGAGACTCGCACAGAGACGCCAGAGACTCGCACAGAGACGCAGAGACTCGCACAGAGACGCCAGAGACTCGCACAGAGACGCCAGAGACTCGCACAGAGACGCCACAGACTCGCACAGAGACGCCAGAGACTCGCACAGAGACGCCAGAGACCCACACAGAGACGCAAGAGACTCGCACAGACACGCCAGAGACTCGCTTAGAGACGCCAGAGACTCGCACAGAGGCGCCAGAGACTCGCTTAGAGACTCCAGAGACTCGCACAGAGACGCCAGAGACCCGCACAGAGACGCCTGAGACCCGCACAGAGACGCCAGAGACTCGCACAGAGACGCCAGAGACTCGCACAGAGACGCCAGAGACTCGCACAGAGACGTCAGAGACTCGCACAGAGACGCCAGAGACTCGCACAGAGACGCCAGAGACTCGCACAGAGACGCCAGAGACTCGCACAGAGACGCCACAGACTCGCACAGAGACGCAGAGACTCGCACAGAGACGCCAGAGACTCGCACAGAGACGCCAGAGACTCGCACAGAGACGCCAGAGACTCGCACACAGACGCCACAGACTCGCACAGAGACGCAGAGACTCGCACAGAGACGCCAGAGACTCGCACAGAGACGCCAGAGACTCGCACAGAAACGCCAGAGACCCACACAGAGACGCAGAGACTCGCACAGAGACGCCAGAGACTCACGCAGAGACTCGCACAGAGACGCCGAGACTCGCACAGAGACGCCAGAGACTCGCACAGAGACGCCAGAGACTCGCACAGAGACGCCAGAGACTCGCACAGAGACGCCAGAGACTCGCACAGAGACGCCAGAGACTCGCACAGAGACGTCAGAGACTCGCACAGAGACGCCAGAGACTCGCACAGAGACGCCAGAGACTCGCACAGAGACGCCAGAGACTCGCACAGAGATGCCACAGACTCGCACAGAGACGCAGAGACTCGCACAGAGACGCCAGAGACTCGCACAGAGACGCCAGAGACTCGCACAGAGACGCCAGAGACTCGCACACAGACGCTACAGACTCGCACAGAGACGCAGAGACTCGCACAGAGACGCCAGAGACTCGCACAGAGACGCCAGAGACTCGCACAGAGACGCCAGAGACCCACACAGAGACGCAGAGACTCGCACAGAGACGCCAGAGACTCGCACAGAGACGCAGAGGCTCACACAGAGACGCCGAGACTCGCACAGAGATGCCAGAGACTCGCACAGAGACGTCAGAGACTCGCACAGAGACGCCACAGACTCGCACAGAGACGCCAGAGACTCGCACAGAGACGCCAGAGACCCACACAGAGACGCAAGAAACTCGCACAGACACGCCAGAGACTCGCTTAGAGACGCCAGAGACTCGCACAGAGACGCCAGAGACTCGCTTAGAGACGCCAGAGACTCGCTTAGAGACGCCAGAGACTCGCACAGAGACGCCAGAGACCCACACAGAGACGCCAGAGACCCACACAGAGACGCCAGAGACTCGCACAGAGACGCCAGAGACTCGCACAGAGACGCCAGAGACTCGCACAGAGACGCCAGAGACTCACACAGAGACGCCAGAGACTCGCACAGACACGCCAGAGACATGCTGATTGACCTGCAGAGTCACACAGACACGCGCAGAGTCACACAGAGACGCGCAAAGTTGCATACAAATCCACATGGTCACACAGGGACCTTTGCGTGACTTAATAAATACATCCACTGTTTCTGTCCAGCGTCTTGCGAGTCTGTCACAGTACAGACTCCAGAGTGTGTACTGTGATTGCACTGACCGCCCCTCCCCTCCCCTCCCCCAGGAGCCCCTGTTCGCCGCCAGAATTATCTACGACCTCCTCTTCTACTTCGTCGTCATCATCATCGTCCTCAACCTCATCTTCGGTGTCATCATCGACACGTTCGCCGACCTCCGCAGCGAGAAGCAGAACAAGGAGGAGGTGCTCAAGAACAGCTGCTTCATCTGCGGTGAGAGTCGGCGACGCCCCTCCCCCCCCCCTCCCGAGCGCCCTCGCCCGCTCTGTGCGCTTCTTTTCGCCGTCGACGGAGCTCCCGACGCGGCGAGCCGCTGGCCGAGACCGGCGGCTCGGCGCACGCCACGACGAGGCGGCGCGATGGCGGGCGGCGGCCGCAACTTGGAGTCGGTTCCCACGATCTCGGCGCCGCCGGCCCTCTGGAACGCCCGGCCACTTGTGACCTCACAAGCTCAATTGTCACATCACGACCCGGCCTCCAGGAGGAGGGTAGGGCCACGTCTGCTGGTGTCACCGGTCCGAATTTTCCTAAATTTGATAAACTACTAAAGTGGGAAGGCCGCACGTAGCGGCGTCTTGCACCGCAGCGCCCCCACTGCTGTCAGACCGACGCCAACTTGCTCCGGACGCCGCTGCTGTGTTCCGCGCAGGGACAGCTGCCACTGGGGAGGTGGGGGGGGGCCCTGCTGGGTGCCGCGAGGCGCGCCGCTGGCGCGGTATCGATGTCGAGCGGCGACGATGAAGACGATGATGATGATTAAGGAAACAGTAGGTGGGCCTGGGCAAGACGACGTCGCTCGGAGGAACGATCGTCGTAGGGAAGGAATTGATTCAGCGTGGCGGCCAACGGAACGGAACGCAGCCGAGTGTACGTCCAATGAGGAGAGATGGAGCGATTTAAATCGGCTCGTGTGCAGTCGATTATTACTTCGCAGGACAGTGAGAGATGGTGGCGGTTCGGGGACGCCTTCATCCAGCAGTGGACTGAACACAGCCGATGATGATACTAATATGATAAACAGTCCTGCTTTGTTCATAATAATCAATAACAATTACGTATTTCTTTCTGGGCAGCCTCTGGAATATTGAGGACCTGATCACCAAACGTGTCCCGTTTGTTCACCGGTCATCCTCAGTCCGGACTGTGCCACCCTCCTCTCGGCGTCCGCTCACCGCCACCTCTCCCCGCCGCGCCCCCCTCCCTCCCTGCCTGCCTCCACACGACTTTGTGGCGGAGCAGGACTGGAGCGGGACAAGTTCGACAACAAGACGGTGTCGTTCGAGGAGCACGTGAAGGTGGAGCACAACATGTGGCACTACCTCTACTTCATCGTGCTGGCGCGCGTCAAGGACCCCACCGAGTACACGGGCCCCGAGAGCTACGTCGCCGACATGATCGCGGTGAGGAGCGCCGGGCGGGCCGGCGGGCCGGCGGCCGCTGGTGCGGGCGGCCGCTGGTGCGGGCGTCGGCGCCGGTGGGCGGAATGCCGGGAAGTGCGATGCCGGATGACGGACGATTTGCACCGGGGGGGGGGGGGTGGGGGCGAGCCGGTGATGACGTGGGTCAAAGTTCAGGGAGAGGCTCCCGAGTTAGAGAGGCAGTGCAGTGTCACTGCCTCGTTGCAAGAATGAGGAGGGGGGGCGGGTGGCACCGGCTGAGGTTCTGGTGTGGGTCGCGTGATTCTTGGTAATGAGTTTCTCTCGGGCTACGTCGTCCGTGTAGGTTTGCGACGACAGTTTTGAACTGTGACCCTCCACAACTCTGTTGGCGAGGTGGCATGGACCGGTCTGTCGCATGGTGGACGGCCATTGTTAAACAATCGACGTTATACCGACACGAGGGATCTCACTAATTATGAATCGTAATCTTGGTGGTGAATGCTTCCGCATGAAGTCAACCGACGCTGGGTCTAAGTTTGTTGCTTCGTCTCTTGTTGGTGCACACGTTGGCGGTGTCGGAGCCACGGAGGTGGCATGGATCCGATTCTGCGATTGAGCAGCCGTAGGACGACTGCGCTTTGGTCTCGTGAGATTAAATTGCAGGTGAAATATTTCACTCAAAATTAAGTAAATATCTCTATCGTAATAGCTAATGAACACAGAGCCTGTTAGACCAGAAGTTCTGAGGTTGAACCCCAGGGCTGTGATTCTCCCTGTCCCTCGTGCGGTTCAGAATGGCCATGTCGGAGATTCTGTATACAGAGGGTTGAGATTTTGAGTGGCGGCGGTGGTGGCTGTGGTTGTGGAAGCGATGGTGGAGGTGGTGGTGGCGGCGGTGGTGGCAGTGGTGGTGGCGGTGGCCGAGGTAGTGGCAGTGGTGGCGGTGGCGGTGGTGGTGGTAGTGACGGTGGTGGTGGTGGTGCGGAGGTCCGCCGGGATTACAACCGTGGCGCGGGACATTGGAGAGGCCGTTGTTGGGGCTTTTGTGGCGGGCGGCGTGCCTCACCGCCGCTGACACCAATACCATCACTCGGCCATTCCCGTGAGATTACGCGTAATAGGATTGGTGCGCGGGGCACGGTGAGTGGCCTCGTGTGTTCGCCATCGCCGCCACGTGGGTGCGTGTGCATGCGTGCGCGTGTGTGTACGTCTGCCGGTAATCTCGGTCAGTTAACTCGTAACACCTGCGTGTGTCCCGTGACCTCCTGCCAGCGGCGAGCTTTCAACGCCTCACGTGGCCTCAGCTTGTGCGTGCGTGCGCGTGTTTGTGTGTGCGTGCGTGTGCTTGTGCGTGTGTTTGTGCGTGCGTGTGTTTGTGCGTGTGTTTGTGCGTGTGTTTGTGCGTGCGTGTGTTTGTGCGTGCGTTTGTGCGTGCATGGTGAGCGGTGGCCCCAGTTGGAATCTCGCTCGAAGTCAACATCGGTGACGAATATCTGAACTGGTCATGGGCCTCCCCTAGGTCGACTTAGCCTTAAATAAGTACTTGGTGTGATGTAATAAACATTGCCACGAGGGAGACAAAGACGGCTGTGCGTGGTTCTGGGTACCCACCCCCTCGTGTGTTATGCCGGCTTTCATAGGTGCTGCGTGCTAAGCGCACTTGCCCCAAATGTCCGCTGAGACTACACGGGGGTCTGTCTCTATGAGTCCGTGTCTTTTTTGTGCGCATTTGTATGCTCATGCGTCTGTAATGTCCACGCGTGCGTGCGTGCGTGCGCGCGCGTGCACCCCACAGGAGAAAAACCTGGACTGGTTCCCGCGGATGCGTGCCATGTCGCTGGTGAGCAGCGACGGTGAGGGTGAGCAGAATGAGCTGCGTGGCCTGCAGGACAAACTCGACTGCACCATGAAGCTCGTCTCCTACCTCTCCAGCCAGCTGTCTGAGCTCAAGGAGCAGGTGAGCGGCAGCGGGGGTGGGGGGCGCGGACGGTGGCGTTGGCAGGAGGTGTGTGGGTGGGTGGGTGGTGTGTGTGTGGGTGGGTATTGGGTGCGCGTGTGCGTGTGTGTGTCTGGGAAATGGTCGTTCGGCGGTTAGCCTGCCGCTCTACGAACCCGGCGACCCGAGTTCAATTTCCGCTCGCATCTAACACCGGTGACGATTATCTGAACCGGTCCTGAGCCTACCCTAGGTCCACTCAGCATCAACTCAAAATAAGTAGCTGGTGCGGTGTGTAAACATTGTCACTAGGGGGACGAAAGTGGCCGGGCGTGGTGCTGACCCCCCACCCCATTGTGTGCCGTGCCGGCCTTCATAGGTGCTCGCGAACAGCACTCGCCCCAACTGTCTGGTGAAGGCTATACGGGGGATTTTTGGCTTTGGGGTAGGTATTTAGGGTGTGTGTGTGTGGGAAGGTATAGGGTGGGTAAATGTGTTGGTAGAGGGTTGGGTGTTTAGCTGAGTGGGTGTGTGGTTGCGTTGTGTCGGTGCTGGTAGGGGACGAGGCGTTGGTGGTGTCCGTGCGTTTAAATCGCTCAGTCGAGCTTCGAGACACCGAGGTTAAAGCCTCAAGACAGCAGTCGGTGGTGGCCACCACATTTACTGAATGATGATGATGATGGTGTTGCTGCTGATGATGACGATGACAGTGCTGCTGCTGATGACAGTGCTCACGGTGATGATGGTGCCGCTGGCGATGGTGGTGCTGGCGGTGATGGTGCTGCTGCGTGAGAGCGTGCCTTTTGGAGATGACGCAAACATAGGTGCCGCTCGCGAAGAGCACTCACCCCAAAAGGTCTGTTAAGGCTATACGGGGGATCTTTGTCTCTGTGCAGATGACGGAGCAGAGAAAGCACAAGCAGAGGATCGGCTTCATCACGAACAGCCCCCACATGAACCCCGGCGAGAGCGCGCAGATGGCGGCGTGAGATCTCAGCCGGTGCCGGCACCACCAGGGCAGCGCCGTTGTCGGCGGCGGCAGCACTAGCCACCGGCGCTATATAGGAACCACTGCCAACGTGCCACCACGACCAGCACTGGCACCATCAACACCATCGTCAGCACCAGCACGACCATCACCAACAACAACCATCGGCAACCACACCAACAACCACAACAACCGCTACCGCCGACACGAAGGCCACTACCACCGCTACCATGAGCACCATCGCCAGCAGCAGCGGCGGCGGCACCACAACCGCAAACACTCGCACACACTCACAAACACTCACAAACACTCGCACACACTCGCACACACTCACAAACACTCGTACACACTCCCACCCACTCGCAAACACTCGCACACACTCGCACACACTCACAAACACTCGCACACACTCGCACACACTCGCACACACTCGCACACACTCACAAACACTCGCAAACACTCGTACACACTCCCACCCACTCGCAAACACTCGCACACACTCCCACACACTCGCAAACACTCGCACACACTCACAAACACTCGCACACACTCGCAAACACTCGCACACACTCCCACACACTCGCAAACACTCGCACACACTCGTACACACTCGCACACACTCGCAAACACTCGCACACACTCGTACACACTCGCAAACACTCGCACACACTCGCAAACACTCGCACACACTCGCAAACACTCGCACACTCTCGCACACACTCGTACACACTCCCACACACTCGCACACACTCCCACACACTCGCACACACTCCCACACACTCGCACACACTCCCACACACTCGCACACACTCGCACACAAATAAGGGGGCAGCCTCAAGGGGGGGTCTCTGAGCGGACGATTCGGCTCCATCGAGCGGCACCGTGCCCGGCACTGCCACGACGCTGTGCCGGGGCACGGTGGGGGCACGGTGGGGGGGGGGAGGCGGGGGGGGGTTCCCGTCTGGGAGTCGTGGCGTGACGGCGATAGAGCAGCAAAGTTGAGGCGTCTCCTAAACCGCGAATAAAAAATCCTCAAGGCGTGCATCATCGCCGGTGCCATGGCCACGACATTCCCTCGTGTCCACATCACGCCATCTGGCCACCGTCGGCGCATTTCCGAGTTCACGCCGTGCGTGCGTGCGTGCGGCGGCGGCTGCTGCGCGTGTTTGTGTGCGCGTGACAGCGTTCTTGCGGGTGCGTATCGTGTTTTTGCCGACCGGTGGGTTTTGTGGCCGAGATCGCGGTTTGCCGATGCGGCCGTAGCGCCGGTTGTGGCGGTGATGGCACCGCCAGAGAGAGGCTCGGCAAGAGCTCAGGGGGGCCCAAGCGGCTCGATGGGCACCCAAGTTCATGAAAATCAAAAGGGGTGAAACCAAACATCAGCTCAAATTCAAAAGTGAATGAACGTAACGTGCCAATGAGTATAACAGGCTCACTGATCTGTCTCGTCTGTCTCGATCTTCTCAAAACTCATTCCGCCACAATTATCTTCAGTCCACGCTTCTCTCGTCTCTCTGCACCTCCGTCTCTTGTCTTCGTCGCTTCCGTCATCTCTCGTTCGTATTTTACGAGTCGGAATGCAAAGGGAAGGCATCCCACTATATCAACAAAAATTCAGCTCCAGGCCTCCGATTGGATGAGCGCTCGCATCAGGGGGCGGCGGTTGTTGGCGGTCGGCGCACCGCACCGGCGCACCGCCCCGGCTCGCCCCGGCCAAGATGAGCGGCGAGCGCCGTCTCCGGGCCACGTCCGCTCGCGAGCATCACCGGCGCCCGCGTCGGCCGCGTGCCACCGCGTCGCCTGTGCCTAAAACCGAACTCCCTCCCTTTGCCCTCCCCACCGCTCCACTCCTCCTCCACCACCCTCCGTATCACCCGACCGCACCTTTTAACTTGTCACGAAGCGATTTTGGGTGCAGATAAAAAGCAAACGGTGCTGATGAATCGTCGAAAGGCCCCGCCCCCCCCCCCCAAGCCTCGGGGGCCCCCTCGACCAAAACGGATCGCGTGCCAGAATCCCCAGCCCCGTTGTGGCGGCGTCACCGTCGGCGTGAATTCCCCGGCTGTCGGACCTCAGGAATGTTTGCAACGTCCGGTAGGACGAGGAGGATGATGATTGATGTAACTTCTGAGATCTTGTACAGCTGCCAGTACCCTCCTCTGGTGCGTGCATGCATGCGCGTACGTGGGTGGTGTGAGCGCGTGCGCGTGTTTTGGGGAATCGTGCGTCACCTCCCGTCAGATGACCCGCAACGCCGTGGGTCTGTGCCGTAACCTCCTGCCAGCAGCGAGCCAACGACACCTCACGTGACCTCAAGAGTGCAACTAGCCTGGCACGAGCGCTGTGGTGAATTCGCCGTCGCTTGCTCACGTGGGCTGCTGTCGTGAACTCGTTTGAGCGCTGTGCTGCAAAGTCAGCGGCCAACACCGGTGGAAGTGAAAGTCGGATCCGGTCTCCGGCCTCTTTGGTGTCCACTCAGCCTGGGGTGCTGTGTGAACGTGGACACCGGGGAGACAAATGCCGTCTTGTGTGGTGCTGACTTCGATAGTAGGCGCTCGCTGTGCCATGGCTTGCCGTGAGAGTCTGCAGGGCTATACGGCGTGTCTTTGTGAATGTGCAGGGCTATACGGTTGTCTTGGTGAAGATGCAGGGCTATACGACGTGTCTTGGTGAAGGTGCAGGGCTATACGGCGTGTCTTTGTAAAGGTGCAGGGCTATACGGCGTGTCTTTGTCTTTGTAAAGGTGCAGGGCTATACGGCGTGTCTTTGTGAAGGTGCAGGGCTATACGGCGTCTTTGTGAAGGTGCAGGGCTATACGGCGTGTCTTTGTGAAGATGCAGGGCTATACGGCGTGTCTTTGTGAAGGTGCAGGGCTATACGGCGTGTCTTAGTGAAGGTGCAGGGCTATACGGCGTGTCTTTGTGAAGATGCAGGGCTATACGGCGTGTCTTTGTGAAGGTGCAGGGCTATACGGCGTGTCTTAGTGAAGGTGCAGGGCTATAAGGCGTGTCTTTGTGAAGGTGCAGGGCTATACGGCGTGTCTTTGTCTTTGTGAATGTGCAGGGCTATAAGGCGTGTCTTTGTGAAGATGCAGGGCTATAAGGCGTGTCTTTGTGAAGGTGCAGGGCTATAAGGCGTGTCTTTGTCTTGGTGAATGTGCAGGGCTATACGGCGTGTCTTTGTGAAGGTGCAGGGCTATAAGGCGTGTCTTTGTCTTGGTGAAGGTGCAGGGCTATACGGCGTGTCTTTGTCTTGCGTGCGCATGCTTCCGCCGAGCGTCGCGATTTTTGTTTTAAAGAAGGAAAACCTCACTCTGCTGATTTGTAATTCTTTATTTGTGTTTTTTTTTAGTCTCGACAAAAGCGGTGTGGCTTTGTGGCTCCAGGTTCAGGGAAAATTACAAACCCGCAGCCCGGGTTTCCCCGCTGTGAGGCGACTCGTACAGGTGCGCCAATCGATAAATGGGCAGCCGAGAGAGAGAGGGGTAGGGAGAGAAAGGGGTTCGTGATGAATGATCAACACCGTTGAGTGCCTCCCCCTCGTATCCAGCGCCACGGCTGCTGTTGTTCCCCCCGGCTCCTCGGCGTTCCCTCGCCGCGCGGAGCCAAACGCCCCTTGCTGGAATCGGCCCAAACCTCCTCCGTGTTGCAGACCCCCCCCCCCCCTCTTGAAGAGCGAGCCTTGGGACCTGGCGAGGCTCTCCCACAGGTTATCCCCCGGGGCTGACGACAAACCCGAGCGTTGTGCCCCCCCCCCCCCACACTGCCACCACAACTGCCACGGTCGCTGTGCCGGATCTCTCTTGGGGGGGGGGGGGCTCTCTGTAAACGCTAAAGTTTGCTCGCTTGTTGTTTCCCGTGTTAAACTTTGTTTGCGCGCCGCTGTTGTGATGGTTTGCAATGGGGGGTGGGGGGTGCCCTGTATCATTCCGCAAGCACGTGCCGCGTACGGACGTTTGAGCGACGGCCACGTGTGGCTGTTTCTTGAGCGGTGGCTCGCCGGCTTTTGAGCGCGTTCAAAGCCGAAGCGAAGTGGCATCGTTGACCCGTCCAGCGGCACACGTGCGAACGTGACGCACGCAGAGGCGATGAAACCGATTTGTGAATTGGACCGTAATCCCTCCCCAAAATCGTGGGGGGTGGCGTGAATCGTCACGCGCGCATTGCACGCCACCCGGCGACACGCGAGCAACGCAGCGCTCAAGGGCAACGTTGGAGTGGGTGGTTTGGTGGGGGGTGTGAGTAGGGTGGGGGGTGTGGGTGGTGTGGGTGGGATTGATTCTTCGCCTCGTTGTTGTCGGTGAGTTCCTTAGAACCGACACCCTCCCCGTGAGTGGCCCCGTGCGCCATCGTGAGAAACGTGGCCGGGAGCGGAGGCCAAAGTAAAATCCTCCTCCACCGCCGTCACCGCCGCCGCCGGGAATGGCGAGGGTCGTGAGGGACGCACCGAGTTGGCGTGCAGGGGGTGAAGCCCGCGCGGGAGACACCCCGCGGGTTGGTTCCTTGGCTGGCAGTCGCCGGGAAACGCCACCCACGAGGCGTCGGGACTTTTTTTTGTCAACTTCGCGCTCACCCCGGAGAGGCCAATGGTAGTGGTGGTGGTGGGGGGGCTGAACGAAGTGGACACTGACTCGACTTGAGAGAGGCGAAGAGGCGCCACCCACAGCAGGGAGTGGAGGAGGAGGGGGTACAGCTCGGCCATGCGTGTCCGGGTCGTGCCGCGCGGTCGTTCGGTACCCGTTGCCCGACGTTTCGCTGCACGTGCGCTGGGAGCTTCTCCCGGCACAGCTCCTTGTCGCTGATTGTCTCCGGCTATCGCGGTTTGGGACCGTCCAGTGTGCCCATGTTTTGTGATTGCGGAGGGCACCGGGGTTACCCGGAGGGAGCCGCGGTTCCCCCACCCCTCCCCCCCCGTTAAACGTCGGACAACTTGCCAACGTGCATGGCACCACTCGAGAACTCGCCGGACCACCGCACCGCTGCACAGCGCGACCGCCAACATCTCCACAGCTGCTGGGGGCTTCATTTCAACCGGGGGCCTCTCCGGGTCTGCGACCCAGAGAATGTCTCCACACCGGGCGCCCTGCTTCCAGAATAACTGCGGCTGCTTCCAGCCACGCGCCGCCTGAATCCAGCCACGCGCCTCCTGCTTCCAGCCACGCGCCAGCGACGCGAGGGATGTTCGGTGAGGAGCGAACGAGGCCCTGCCCGTTCGCCAGTTCGCCGGTGGGTTGGAGCGATCCGCCGGGCAATCGAGAAGCGCCAAACATCTCGCAGATGTTTGGCAGAAAAACGACGACGACTATGTTTGGCTCATCCCCCCCACCGCCCCCCAAACAAATATTCCGCAGTCAGCGCGGTCTCTCCGTCCATACAAGAACGTGACCTCGGGCACGTGGTTCTGCGTGAGAATTCCCCGCCGTCATCTCCCAGTGGCCACGCGTGCGGGGGAGTTTTAAAAGCCCCGGGGTGGAGCTGGCCTCGAGCCAGCCGGCTCTTGTAATCACTGACATTTGTAAGGCGCGTTTCATCCGTAGGTCATTGGTGGTGGGGGAGGGCAGGCTGACATATCTATTTTGATAACGAGATTTTTTTTGGGTGAAAAAAATGTCTAAAAAATAAGAGGTCACCAAGGCTGGCCGCTGGCAGAGCGACTGGGAAACGGCCGCGCCCAAGGGGCACGGGGATGGGGGGGGGGGGGTCAGCGATGATCGCGTGACTCCTCCACGTGCTCCGCCCGCGATGGGTGTCGAACCTTGCGCTGTCTTGTCCTTGTGGACATTACATTTTATAATAATAAGAATGTTCATAATAATTCAAACAAAATGAGATTGCACTCGGGGGGGGGGGGGGGGGGGTGGGGGGGCTTCACCGATGGTTGATAGCTGCCGCTCCACGTGCACCGCCAGCGCGCGGTGTCGAACCTTGGGGCGCTGTCGTCCAAGAAGACTGCCGAGTCTTGCCTCCTACCGATGAAAGGACCTCGTGGTTTAAAGGACGCAGGCTCGGGTGAAGTAGGTTAGCCCGGTCGGGGGGGGGGGGGCTTGGGGAGGGCTGATTGCGCGCCGCGTTAGCCCCCCCCTGGTTAACCGACGCCAATGTCAGAGCCCAATTACAGTGGATGGGTGGGTGACAATGCGACTGCTGATGAATCACAATGGGGGGGGGATGTGGTTGGGTGTAAAATAATCACGTGAATTCGCAGTAATTGCGCGACGCGGGGAGGGTGATTTTGCCACGCGCGCTGTAACGCCTCTCTTGTTTTGCTGTAATCGTTTTGTCGGAGTTGTGTGTGTGTGTATATGGGTTCGGAGTGGTCCGCTGTAGTTTTTAACACGAAAAAATAATCCGCGTTTCGCATTTTAACGGTCGGGAAGGGGACTGGTGTAGGGTGGATGTTATGCAAACTGGAATTTTTCTAAGAAATCTGTAGGACCAAACATTTGACGATAATGATGGTCTCCGATGTGTGTTTTTTTTGTTGTTGCGGGGTTTGTACTGCCGAGCGCGCGTGGTGTGTTGTTCTTTGAGACTCTCCTCTTGAAACTCGGGTCACTCGAGAAGCTCCGCTCACGGCACGCGGAGCGAAACGTCGGACAACGAAGCGCGCGTGGCACGACCTCGGAAAAAAACGCGTCGGAACAAGCCGTGCGGCAGCAGCAGCCGCGTGCACGCCTCGTGGCACGGTGGGATTTGAGAATAATGCCAAACTTTTATTTTACTCTCAACATCGCCACCACATTTGTTTTGTTTTTCTTAAGACTGGAATTTGTACTTCGCGTGTGTATGTGCGTTTTGTTTTTGGCGTTCGGAAGTTCATTTGATGTGTGGAAGTCTACATTACAATATCAGTTTGATATTGTGTATGTGTTTTGGGAGGGCATTCTCTTTTAACAAATAATATTAATAAAGCGATGCCCACGTCAGCTTTGGTTACTTGGATGTGTTGTTTTTTAATTTGTTCTGGGACGATTGGCTGAATATTATAATAATGGCAACTTCTAACACGCCGCTACTGCACAGTATCCGCTCCGCGCTCTCGTTAAGAGAGAGAGGGGGCGACTCAGCGGAGAGGAGGAACCACAAACGGGAAGCCAGCTTGCACCAGCAATTGCCCAAGTTCTAGTCTTCTTTATACTAAGCTGCTATCAACCAATTAATTGAGTGGCAGGAAACCGAAACACCCGAAAACACCCTCGCGTGCGAGGGGGAAACACTCTATCCCATAGAGACGGAACAGTCCGAGTCCACGTTCTTATTGAAATATCTTCTGGCGGAGGCAGTGGAGCGAAACGTCGGACACCACCAAACCCCGCCGCTGCTGCCGCCTCCACAGCGCTGGAACACCGCTGCCGCGTGCAGCGTAGCCGCCACAACCACCGCCCCACTTCGTCGATTCACCGATCAAGAATTTGTTATCGGCTTCTGCTTTGTGATCGGTCCCTCGGGCCTCTTTAAAAATGGTCGTCGCCCGCACATCCTGCTCTCCCGAAGGCAGGAAACCCCCTATTAACCACTCCCAGCGCGACGTAGCTGATGATGTTGCTGATGCCGATGATGGCAACGAGCACTGTCCGTCACCTCCCGTCCAGCGGCACACTTGAGAAGAGAGACGATACTTTTTTTCCAAACCTCCAAACTATCTTCGTGTTATCCAATTGGCCGAGCAATAAAACCGATGACTGCTCGAGTGAGTAGTTCGTAAATAACCAGAGAGCCGGTAAACTAGTTTGAACCCTTGTTTTCAATGATTAAATGAATGCACACACACACACAAAACTATGAAAATAACTTTGTTTCTGCACTTTGGCTAAATTCCGGCTGCCTGAACATTGCTCTCAATCCGCAGAGTGGATAAGAAAGTTACCGCCCTCGACTGTGCGTGGAGCCAGAGGTCACATTGAGGGACCTCGGAGGTACCTCTACGATATCCACTTCTGCGGGCCGTTGAGAAAAGCAAGAAGACTCCGCCCCCCACCCTCACCCCAGCTGAATTCTAAACTCAGCCGGCAGCCTGTTTCGAGCGAATGTGGCTCGTAGGGAGAAGCGGGGATCGGGTTGGTTGGGTTTCTGTGGACGTTGCTTGGCCCAGGACCGTGGCTTTTCGGCGGGGGTGGGGAGAGGGGGGTTCGGCCAGAGCTGAAACCGAGCGACCGCTGCCGTGGTCGGTCACGCGGTCGCATCAATCCGAAAACTTGTCCAACTCCCAATAATAATAAAACATTAACATCGGTACACACGGAGTCTTAAGAGAGCGGGGTGGGGGGGGCACGCAGCGGGGCCTGTGGACGTGCCAGGCGTCACGGGGCT